AGCCCGATTTAAACTCGTGCGCAGTACATCTCCGCGCATTACGCCCTGAGGAAGGTCGCAGAATGGAGACCGAAACGTCGGCACCGTCGCCATGGACGCGGCGTCACCCGGACAGCCTAGTAAATATCATTAGTATCTGTTCTTCTTGGTTAATAAATATCAAGTTTAACTGCAATTGCATGTTAAAGTAATGTAGATCTTGCAATGTATATGCATGTGTTCGTAAGAATTGAGTTGATTCACTATAACAAATTTATTTCTAAACTCCCCAAAATTTCACACCTTACACTGTCCCGTTATATTTAAATTAGGGATACGCTTGTTTTTAATCTACTAGTTGGATCTATTAATAAAATAAATATCCTGCATGTCTGATTGCCCACCTATAAAGAAAAGAAATAAAAGTAAAATAATATGTGAAAACATTAAATTCATTTTTTCAACTTGTAAAACAATATTTCTTTCAATAACATGTTCAACGCATCTAGATCTTGTTATCTGACATGGTTTTTGGTAGCTGTATGTAACAGTGTTTGCTCCTTTTCATTTTGTGTTGCTCCTAGGATGGAAAAATATTTTTCGAAACGCCAGCAAACAACCATGGATTAACGTTTTGCTCCTACTGACCAAACTCGTTAACCTGATTCCAACAAATTCATTTTCCTCAAAACTTTATTCTCAGGTTTAGCTATCAGCTCAACTGAGGATTCGGTTTCACAATTAAATACTCAATCAAATCCCGATCTCTGGGGTGAAATTGTGATAATATAAACGAAGTGTTATTCCTTTGCTAAGACACTGGACTGAAAATATTTTCATAAATGAAATCCTCTGCTTCAAGATTCTATTATTGCTTTTCCTGTAATGAACATTTCTTTCAAATTCAAGAAATTATGAAAACTATCACATTTCAGCGGCAGGGAAACCAACCTTCCTTGGGAAAGGAAACCCTGAAATCATCAGTGAGTGAGGGAGGTTGATCTTAGGATTGGCGGCCTTATCTTGTAAAAAGAATCTTGTCACGAATCCTAACAACATACCTCAGAAGACAGAACCTATTTCATTGAGACGGCACAGAAAAGAAACACAGATAAAAAATAAAATAAAAATGGGAACCTGGACAATCTGAAACCGATTTGAAGAAATTTTGCGATATGTACTTGTTTGAGGCAACACTAAACAGGATCGCAATGATAAATTTAGTCAAGTTTGACCTTTATGTATCTTGCTGAATGAACAATGGCTGAAGCGTTTTCTCCTAGATGCTTACATCAGTTTTGATGAGTTTATGGTCCCATATTTCGGCCATCATGGAAGTGAACAGCACCTGCTAGTAAACAGCACCCGAAAACCTATATGATTAAATTTTAAAATATGAGCCATGTGTTCCTGTCTGAGATATCTCTCACCAATGTGGAATCATACCAAGGGGCCTACTGGAGGATACTTGACACACACATCCTGAGGTGGGTGTTGGCGGTTCAGTCGTCATGAACCTTGAAACAGTAGAAAGCAGCACGAGATGGCTACAGCATATATACAGATAACTTTAGCGTGTCTGTGCATTTGTTAGAACAACTTGCGAGTAAAGGTCATGATGGAACAGGAACTGTGAGAGTGATTAGAATAGAAAAGACTCCACTTAATGAACCACAGCAAATGAAAAAGATGTTATGGGGCTCATACGACCAGGTAACAGGCACGGGACCGGTGTGACGATCATAAGACATAAAGAAAATAGTGATGTCACTATTGCTTCACTCAGGAGTGAAGTGACTCCAATAGGCAAGGCTAAACACTGGGGTGAAGCAGCTAAGAAGAAAATTAATGTAGATCAACTAGCGTGCATTGAAGACTACAACACATACACGGGGGGAGTTGACAGATTAGGTGAAAACATTGCTGCGTATAGAACAACATTCACATCCAAATGAAAGATGGTACTGGCAACTACTCATGTATCCTCTCAATGCATCAATATAAATGAGTATAAGCTAACACCAAATAGACGGCCAAGTAATGGTATGGATTTTTTTTAGCATTTATTAGAGAATTTATTCTATCTTATAAGTGCATGTACACCCAATGAGCCCAATGAGCTTTAAGATGAAAACCAAAAGCAACAAAGAAATGTATTCCTCACAGCATTCATCTTGACAGAGTAGGTTACCTAATTAGAAAACGAGAAACCCAAAAATGATGTGGCATGTATCACAACACCACAATGATTTGTGTCAAATGTAATGTTGGAGTTAATGCCAATTGCTTTTTAAAGTTCTACTCATAAGGTTTCACAGGGTTAGTTGAAGTTTTGTTTTTTGGTTCCACATTTATACATATTTTTCTGTATTTTGAACACTATTCTTCTCCTTTATGTATTCTAGTTACTTAGCATTAAAAAAATTGTTCTTAAAATACTAAACCTACACATTTATATGCTCTCATCATCATATTTTTTGTTTAACAATAAGGTACATATTACCTACTATACAGGGCTTGCTGCCCCATTTTTGGAGCACATTGTATGTTATTTATTGCCTACCTTCCAAAGCCCACTGGCCTGTTTGTAGAGCGGTCCATTGCACGAAAACAGGTAAACAAAGTTAAAATGACAGGTTCCAAATTGTGTTTTAAGGAAAAAAGTACAGACATTTAAAACAAAATAATTTGGGAAGACATGGGATAATGAATGGGACATACTCGATGGAGAAGACATTGTTAGATTTATAGTCTCACAATATTTCTTGGTTAGGGCATGTGCAGACAATGGGAACAGAAAGAATGCCTTGCCTAAAAAATACACAAAAATAATATTCTAGATGTAAGAATACATTCTAGGTCAAAGAAATGTTGAATCCAAGAAGTTGTGGATGACTTGAAGAAGATAAAAGTTATCGGATGGAGGGAGAAGGCTGAAAGAAGAGAGGAATGGAGGCAGATCATGAAGGCAACCCTGGCCCACATGGGGCTGTAGTGTTTTGGGATTCACATTTCAGTCTTATTTTATGGTACTTCAATCTCACAAAAATTGGGAGAATTCGTAGCACCAACAGAATAGAAAAAGTTTGCGGCATCACATAAATAAAAATGATAAAATAGCACCAAAACAAAATAAATTGAAATGCTAGTGATAAAGTATACAATATTTTCGTCACTTGCATACAAGCTTGGCTATCAAGGCAGTTCATTAACTTTATGTTGATTTTTATTGGTCAATAAAATAAAAATAAGGGTCATTAAAAATAATTGGTCAATAAAATAAGGGCCATTTGTTATTATATCCATTACAACTATGAAAAAAGTTTTCTTACATCTCAAAATATCATGAATACATTGCACATAAAGACTTTTTCGTCCTGATTTTTCCCAAAGAAACAACAAACACAAAGGTTCTTTGAATTACAGAAGCAGCAAAATATTTAGAGAGTAAAAAATTAAAAGACAATTCTTTACTTACCAGAGCTGGGATTGAGACTTTCTTCATGAGCAAGTTCTGTTTCTTCAGCCATTTCTTCAGTGCCGTTTCCAGGCACATCCAAGGCATTTGTGGACTCTTCGCTCTCTGAATCATCTGCTTCATTACTCAACTGGTGATTTCGTTCAGTCAGGTCTGGAGGTGAAGACAACTCGCAGGCTGAATGCGAAACATGTTGTTCTTGTAGTTGTTGTTGTTGATCTACTTGCTGTTGTTGTAGTTGTTGATCTACTTGCTGTTGTTGTGGCTGTTGTTCAAGATGCTGCGGCTGCTGATTCGGTATTACCAAAGCTGAATTCCCATTTGAATGAAGAGACTCCCTATCACCTGCAAACAAAAAGGAAGTAATGTTCTTTTATAAAACCAAATCTTTTACATTCATTAAAAGAAAAAAATTGTTTATAATACGAATGCAGATGCTTTACATCACATTGGAATAAGTGATCATGCATTCCTCAGCAATGACCAGCTTGGACCCTATCTATAATGACAGCCAAGGATTTATCTAGATAAATAAAATTGGAGTGTGTGTCTTCAAGTATTGTGCCCGTGTTTGGTTATTTTCATGAAAATCATTTCTTATGTTTTTACAATTTTTGTCTTCTATCAGTTTCTCCAGAAAAACCTCTAGAATGTCTAATCGAATTTCAATATGGTTTTCACTTAAAGGTAGAGTATTCTGTAGAGCATAACGTAAGCTACTTTTTCCTCAATTATTAATTTTTCCTATAAACAGAATAACATTTATTTTTTCTCACATATATCTACAGTTTTATTCTGATTTTAAAGAAATTATTGTTTACAATGACTTTCATGACAAGAGAAAGTACACCATCAGCAAAAGATTTCATGAGGGCGAGATCATTCGGATTTGGACCGGAGCAGGGCAGGTGAGGTCAGAGTACGACAGATATTCTACTGACATATTCATTTCTCTTCTTCTAACAGATAAAGAACCCTGGCAACAGAGGGTACTTCAGCTTCTGCACCATAATCAGATTTCTCAGCACAAGTCCCATCACAATTGTTACATGTAATTATTGGGTACCCATTTCTAATTGAAAAACGTGTACTTTCGGCATGATGCTAAAACTTTCTTGTATTATTGATAATGATTACTTAATATTACAATACTATAACTTCTATCCTATTAACATTTTAGCCATCACTATAAAAAGTTGATACCAATAATTCTGAAACCCAAAAATTTCAACTCAAAATTACTTGAAAACCAAAACTTTTACATTCATACCACATTTGAAACAACTTAAGATCTAATATTCAAGAATAGAATGCATTTCAAAGGAAATCTTCAATGCACAAGGGTAGGCCAGTTTCAGTAAACGTGAAAGTAAATGTTGAATATTTGTAATTTCAGATCTTTTTCAGAAGAATTTCAGATTCAGAAGAATTTTGGATTTTTCCCAGCTTCCTGAGAACCTAATGAAATCATACACATTTGCAGAGGTCGGTGACTGCATAGTTTTCTTCCAATTTCTTTGTACACTGGAAATTAGTAACTGATATAACAAAAAATTCTGCTTGTAAGTTGTTTTCCCACTTGTAAGAATCAATACAAATGTAGTTTTAAAAGTACCGTACCTTCTGACTGACTGAGTATATTTATTCGGGCTACAGTTTATGCAAAAAAAGAAGCACCCAATTTCAGATTATGCTAATTTTTTCTGAATTACTTTTTAAAAGTTTTTAAAGATAGAAATCACAGAATCACAAAACTGACTCAAACGTCCCCAAAGGACAATTGCAGTTACTTACACAAATATTCTGAACAAGAACTGAAAATGGAGGGGTCATTCTGAAATATTTACAATCGATGCAGAACTAATATACATCAACTAAGATCGAATCAACAAGTCCTCCAGTGAACAATAAAGAGGTTGTTAAAACTAACCACAATATGTCGTGTTGTCATGTAATTCATAAAGCATTCATTAAAAGTCACTCTTCTTTCAACCAACATTTCGACTGTGTTCGACTTAACTAGCAAACAACTTCTGTTTAACATAATTCTAAACGACTTCCACACAGAATATGGAAAACTCTCACAAAAAATGCTGGATACCAAAGCCATCCATGTATTATATATAAATGAATATTACAACAGATGTATATTCTATGAATAATCCCTGGAGAAGTCATTTGTATGAAACACTGGATGTAAGAACAGTGATTTTTAATAAATATTTTATGTATCACAGGACAATAAACTGTCCATAATCAAAATGGAACTATTTCCTAAATATGAATGAAAAAACAGTGTACAAAAATATAATCCCATATAGAATGATTCTACCACCCAAAACAGCTATCAATACTTCTGAGAACTTCTATGAAAGTTTTGCACTAATTGTTTTATAAATATTTGAATTGTATAATGATTAATATTTGAGAATATTCATATTATGCTAATTACAAAACAACTTTTTTGGTACTGTAGTACACATTGAAAATCTCAAATGTACTTACTCGAATATCGGTCCACATTTTCTTCAAATGCTGAAGCAACTGCATCATTCATTTCTTCCTCATGATATCCAGAAATGGATTCAACTTGGTTATCATTTTCTAATACCTTGTTTCTTGTCTCCAAACTTTTTATTTCAGAAAATGAACGTTCTTGTTTCAAACTTTGTTCTGTGTTTACGAGCACCTCAGGATTACACTGAAGAGGATCACTTTCGTTTCGTCTGTCATGGTTCTGTAGTGGCATCATTACTGGTCTTGATTGTACACCCTCAGCAGAGTCACCACACCCTTCAATTAGAACAGGAGGGACTTCCAAAGTCCTGTCCGTGATGTTTTGTGAAAAATGGAAATGACATTGTTGGGAAGAATTCGAGACACTGTCTTCATGGCTTGTCCAAGAATTTTCATCTTTACTGTTGTCTTGGTTAACTCTCGATGAGCACTGATTGGTTTCTACAGCAGCATTGCCAAGAACATTAATTGTCCTCTAAAAAAAACAAAAAAAACACAAGTTATAAAAATCTTTTTTGATATCAGCTGTTACAGAATAATTTATTACATTGACATTTTTAACATTTACTTACATCTTCACGAAGAAACTTATTAAGGCCTTTAATCTGCAAGGACACTGCAAGTTCTAAAAACGTTTCCAACTGACCAGCTGGAATCTCTACTTCTCCATTATACACAAAATCAATCACAGTCTTGAGCGTAAGAAATGATGTATCTTTGAGAATGACTATTGCATGTTTCTCGTTTTCATCATTAAACAGCATCTAATAAAAAGACACGAAAAGAACAGTGATGAAGAAAGAGCACTTTTCAGAAACTGTCAAAGTATACAAAAAAGAACACAAAATAAACACAGAAAATTAAAGCTACTCGTTATTCCACATAATTCGAGCTTTAGTACATTTCAAATATCCAAATTTTTTAAATTTCAGGTTTTCCGACCCTGAAATTTCAAATTTCCTCGATCAGAACTGACAGTGGGTCATCAAGACAAAAGACAGTACTGAAAATGCGTATTATTTCTTTTCAATTTATTTTATACAAGCTAAGAAATTCAAAAGTAAATTCTTTGAACAATGCAAGATTAATCAATGTGTGTGCAAATGCAAATTTTCTGCCAAAAGATTAATAGGTATATTTGTTCCTTTCTTATCCTTCCAGCACCACCCATGACCAGAATGGCTACGTGGAGGTTAGATTGAGATACAAACAGGATTTTATGCGTCTCTTAAAGAATGACTTCTTTGATCACAGTGAAATACAATATATAGATCAGCGTTACCCACAGTCAGTATCAACCCCTGGAAGTAGATGGAATTGTAAAAGGGGCCAAAATTGGCACGGGGGTTGATCGGGAGAGGGGGGTCAATCTTTAAACATGGACTAACAAATGATTGGTACAATCAAGATCCTATTGATTACAAATATATATATATATATATATATATATATATATATATATATATATATATATATATATATATATATATAAATGAAATTGCATTTTTTTAAATTATATAAAAGGTTTAAAACATCTAATAATATTACTATTTCTAAAAATTGAAAGTACAAACAAATAATAAAATATTTTTCTAATATGCTTTATTTCAAAATTGATCATATTCTTTGTCTAATTGCTAACCAGTCACACACATGTAATTATTTGTTTTTTTTATAATTTTGTATGTTGAAAATTACAGAAAATGTGAAGGAGATCCATAAAGCAAGACATTTTTTTAAAAGGGGTCAATGCAAGAAAAGGATTGAGTATCTCTGATATACGTTCTTGAAAAATCTACAAACAGAGCTGCATACTCAGAGAGTCAAGGGGGATTGTGGTCCCTCCGAAAATTTTTTAAGAGGCCCCCCAAGCCTTACGTAACAAAATGTTTTATTTCCTTTTCATAACCTGACAGTTTAGGAGATTTTTATATGATCTTCGAAGTGGAAGCTCTCCACACCTTCCGATAACTGTGAATTTGATCAAAATGAAATCAATTGTATTTACTGATGTTTTGTATACAGTTATAATTTTATTCCCATTGAAGTATTTTTTATTCCTATCAATGTCATACATAAATAAAAAAGCTTAAATGGTAAACAGAGACCATAAATGTCATTGTTTTGTTACCTCCCGTTTCCTGCGGTTTTAGGCCATACATCTGCAAACCTCACCTTCATAAAAATTAATAATAGAATAAAAATAAGATAAGAGAATAATGGAAAATTTTCTTGTGTTGTTTTGATTCAATAATATTAATCTTACCTGAAAGTATGGACTACATGAAGACAAAATCAGTCTATGAGCTTTTAGACTTTTCCCTTCAGCAGCTATAGTGCAATCCACAAAAGAATTGTTCTCCAGAAAAGTTTTCCGTCCTCTAGCAAGTTCATTGACATGGCCATTCCAACTAACGCACAAGATCGGTTCAGCCATATTCCAACACTGAAACAATTTTCAAAAAATGACATGTTATTGCTGAAAACATTACATAACATAAATGATAGCACATCTACTAAAGGAAATCAATGGTATTACAAGTTAAAAAAGGTTGAATATTAAGCTGCAAACACTACTATATTCGTATTGTTAGATATCTCACAAATGGTTGTACCTCACTTATCATTAAAAGTGAAATACAACCTTTCGTGAGATAGTCACTGATATGCTTACATTACTGTATTCTGAACATCCACCTGTAAGGTTAATCAATATCCAATAAATTACAAATAATTAAACTACTAGATACTAGCTAGAATTGTTTCATGGAGACAATAAAAGCATATTGCTATAATTCTTTATTTTATAAAGGTTATTAGTTAAAAGTGAATCCCTTGCAGCAATGTTGGGCAAGAACGTTGTGTGTGTGGTGACGTGCCCTTCTCATGTCAACACCCCCATAATGTAAAAATAAGTTAAGTTTAGATTTACGGTTTTTTTTCAAGTAAATTCAGAAATTCAAAATCATTCTGTGTTTCATTGCATTCAGCATGATTCAGCACACTGATATCACACAAGGTTCCTTCCCTCCCCACTGTTTTTGAGCAGTGAGGAAAAAATCAGAGATTAACAATAAGGGGGAAGTCAAGCGTCAGTAATGACAATGTGGCCCACAATCATATTGAGAATTTCATTGTGGCCATGAAGGCCTTGGACGTTGGCAAGTTGGACACCCATTTACTAGAACAACAAGATAATAGCTCAAATACATATCAAATCAAACATCTTGTATAAGTTAATTTCATATCAACTAAATTTGTTAAACAAGCCAGCTTTCACACATCACATCAGAAGGGGGTTAAAACACATTGCAAACATTACAGCTTATTAGTTCTCTAGGGTTCAGATAAACACTTAATCATTAACACATTTCAACATTATATCACAAAACCACATTTAAAATGCCTCTTTCAAATCTGTTAAAGGCTAAACATGACAAAGAAGAAAGCAATAATTAATAATAATGAGAAATAAAGAATATTTTTTATTTAAAAAATGCACTGCAACATGATATATAAGTGTTAAATAGCAAGATATTTTTTGACAATGTCTTCTAATGTAGGAGGCATTATTCTTGAACATAAATGTTTTCGAGTAACGAAGTCATATGAGTTTTAGCATTTTCATTTCTATGGGTATTATTTTTTCATGTTTTATATTGAGGTTTTAATCAAGCGCTGAAGTAAAATAAAATACACATAACAATGTTGCAAATATAGAATTCAATCTATTTAAAAATGTATATAGCATTTATTTTGCTTTTTTTAAAGCCTACATTAGGTATCTACTTAGAAGATTTTAAACCCTAAATATGCCAAGATTATTTATAATCAAATTTGTGGAAGACATAGTAACTGCTTCAAAAGGAAATAGAGCATAAAAACAAATCATTAAATACAATTCAATGCTATAGAATATCTTTCCTACATTTTATTTGAGAAACTAATTAAGATAACTTCAGAGTAAATGACCCCAATTTCTAACGACTATCATAGTTTTCTTTGACTTAAAAACTAATTCTTACTTTGTCTAATAGTAAACAAATAAATCCGACTTTTAAGCCATTTTCAATTGCAAGTATTACAATATTCACACTACAAATATTTTTAAATTTAATATATACAAAAATAACAAGGCTTATTTTTTAACAAACACTCATACCTTCCAAACAGCAGTGAAATCTGTATTTCAGAGCACAATATATTCATAAAAAAAAGATCAGTGCCTAAGAAAATTAACAGCACGCCCTCGTTAATCCTTCAGCTGGAGACACCTGGAGTCACCGCTTTCTGTTAAGGCCAGAGAGTATATTTAAGGTTAAGACTCGTTTTCACGTCGACACTCGCGTCATTTGTCAAAACATTTCACGTCTTTCTCGGTCGTGCCGCTAGATCGCATGATTGCGACCGTGACTTCGAGAGTGCGCGTTTATACGTACACAATAAGTTCCAGGAGATTTTACCACGTGCAACTAGTCGGCGCGCTAATAATTTTGGCGCGCCAGTTCCGTTCATTCAAAAACCTATTTCATACATCATCCTCAAGAATTACTCAAGAATCAATACTCAAGTATTACAACACATATTCATCTTCAACACTCTGCCAAATAGGACTCTACTACTTCAGTGAACACCTCTGTTTCCAGAGAAGGTAAAGAAGATTAACATAAATAAACTACCCCAATTTATTACTTAATTGAATAAAATATGGAGATTTTCCTGGAGATTATTTACTGCTAAAAATTGATGAATACCTTAAATACCAAAGTTTGTACTTGTGATACTTCCTTTGAAATAAAAATGAACACTGGACATGATAGGATGCTTATTAACAATTTAATTCAAATAGTAGTAAGTGAGCTTACCACTGGAATAAAGTAAATAATAATAATAATAATAATAATAATAATAATAATAATAATAATAATAATAATAATAACAACAATAATAATTTATTTCCAAAAAGAATTACATGATAGCGTGACAAAAATCATCAACCATAAAAAACAATAAGAAAAGAATACCCAATTTTTGTTTTTTGGACTACTTACATACATTTATACACTCCTGGTTTAACTCTTTTCAGTATAAATTCCTTGCTGGTCTTATCACGTTTAAATTTTAAATTTAAAATTAGGTTATTACCATATTATTTTATTTATTACAGTACAGCTTCCAAACCTCTCTAAGTACTCTTATGTACTTGTCAGAGAGGGTGTGTTTAGCATCTGTAAGCTTTGTTTTGTTTTTTTTTTTTTTTGTATTCTGTTGTTGATTTATTAGGTTCAGCTCATCCTCAGCTAGCTCGTTTGAACGTGAATTGTGTTTGTATTCGGAATTAAGATTTTAACCAAGGAAACTCAACATGCAGAAAGACAATAAAATTCATCCAAGTCTATCTAGAATAATCAAATAAATTGGTAATAAATAAAAAGGATATGTTAGTTGGCAACTGGGCTAAAAAAATGAAAACTAAGTTATCTTAAATTACCATTTGGAAATTTATAGTGAACAAAATCAACAAGCAAGGCGAAATAAAATTTCTTATCTAAATTACAAATAAGGAAAACCAAATAAACACTTCTCTGTGGCAAATGCAGCTGACATTAACTTGAGTTAAATTGTTCCATTATACAATAATTGGAAATTAAATAATTGGACTCAAAAACAAAAATTAAGTCAATACTGAACCATTAACGAAACTGAATGGAGAGTAACAGGATGCATTATCAATTTTTTACAATGATTATCTGTGAGTAAACCGCTGTTTATTAAAGAAGATTGTAATGATGTAACACATAAGAGTTTTGTAATACGAAAGTGCATAGCAGGCATAAAGATGAAAACAAAATGATCCCACTTTATTCTC